TTGACTAACAACCGTGACATCGAGGCGACTCTACAAGTGAGCCAATTTTGTTGATTTTGTTATGGAGCAGTATTAATGATGTTCCTCAAGAAAAGCCCACGCGAGCGAAGCCGCGGGTAAAAACTAGTTTAACAATACATATTCACATAAAAAGTATTTTTTATTTTCTCCTTAAACGACATTCTGTTTCGTAATCACAAAAAACTTATGAGGCATAATATAACTGCAGCATGGCTCTACCATCTTTTTTTTACATTCATGTTCATCAGTCTATAGTATAATTGTTGAAGAGAGGATTTACTTTATTTAACGCGCTTGGCAGGTGGACTGATGATCACATTACCAGACGTTGAACACCAGCGTAAAATAGTAACTTAATGCTGCTGTGTTTCGTATGACGAGTGCAGAGAAACGGAGACCCTTTTTTCTAATAATGAAGCATTCCACTTAAGTCCTCATGGGTGACAACGCATCTGCATTTTGATTCTTGATCGAGTAAAATGTAGATATCTATGGGCCACGGCGGGCACTTACCATCAGGTGATGCAATGCGATAAAAAAAATTGGTAGGGATCCGTATGAAAACTTCGTTAATGTAACCCTCGGTGTGAAAAAATACCAAAAAAATCCTTATATCACGTATGCTGTGGAAACTATTGACAATAAAGCAAAGTGATGTACTACAGTTTTATAGAGGACATCAATATCTACAAAAAGTCTGAGATATCATATATCTAACTCTTACATTTATGTCACAATAACTACTTTTTAATTTTAAAATATGCAATAGTAACGCCGGTACAAACTAAGCCACGTTAATTAAAGATAAAAAAATGTTTATATTTTGTGGCAGAATGCGCAAAAATTGTAAATGATATCGCTTTCGTATGTATAAAAGGTTGATAGAAAATTCATCAAGGATCGTTTCGTACCTCCACACTTTTCATGTACCATGTACAATTCTCTTTAAAACTGGAAAAACCGCGTTGTGGGGCGCGGGGGGTTGAAGCTCGTCCGAGAGGAGAATGGATAAAATTTAAGTTTTTTGTATAACGTACATATGCCGATAGATAAAAGTACTCCATTATACTATAAACTCTCACGCCTGTCACCCAGAGGGGTAGGCAGAGACTACAGACTTCCATTTGGCACGATCCTGACACACCTCTCTCGCCTCCTTCACATCCATACACCTACGCATACATGCTCGTCGGTTAAGGGTACTCCTAATTTGGCCCGTTTTCAATAAATCGCCAATTTGGTCGATAAATTTTACAATACAATACAATACAATATATTTATTTGCATTCCATAATGTAGAAATTAATAATATTCAATTTTCACAACATGGACCCTGTCGGGTATAGCAAATTAGAACAGAGGAGGACGCAAAAATGTTTTATTATTCATTATAATTATATTATTCATTATATTTAAATTATTCCTTATTATTATACTATCATTATTCGTGTTATTCATTCATTTATTTATAGTTTTCATTATCATTATTACATTTGTCATTCAGGTATTCATATAAAGTATAATAACATTTATTGATTAGAAACACTTTTAATTGTCTTATAAAAATATGATCATTTGTTTCGTTTTTTAATGAGTTTGGTAGTTTATTATAGACAGTTATTGACATTATGTAAGGGCCTGAGGAAAAGAGCTTCATTTTAGAAGTTGGTAGCAATAATCTATTTCCGTGTCTTAAACTATAAGCCGTAATTTTAGTTTCTCTTTTTACGTAGAAATTAGGGTATTTTCGCACAAATTTGCATAATTCCAATATATAAATACAAATTAGGGTAAGAAGTTTAAGTTTTTTAAAATGAGGACAGCAACTTGCAGTTCTTTCTATGTTACACATAATGCGAATTAGTTTTTTCTGTAAGATGAAGATGGTGGTTGCATCTGTACTGTTACCCCACAGGATAATACCGTACCTTAGCCACGCCTGTGCATAGGCATTGTAAGTAATTAACGCGGTCTGGAGGTCAGTTGTCTTTTTTATTTCACTTAGGGCATATACAAAACTAGACAATTTGTTACGAATTTTCTGAACGTGAGATTTCCAGTTGATGTGACTATCCAAAACTATGCCGAGTAGAGTGTGCTCATTTACAGTCTCGATTTTTGTATTTTTGTAAGAAAAATTAATTTTTATCGGCGCTTTTTGATAGGGGTAAAAAAGGCAAAATTTTTGTTTTTTTTGTAGTTTATTTCCAGGTTATGCTCTTTCATCCATTGGTCAGTATTTTCAAATATTTTATATAATATATCATTTACGTTATTTACGTCACGACAAGGTACTAAGATAGAGATATCGTCCGCAAACATAACACATGGGTTAACCATAGTTTCACTGAGATTGTTAATATATATTAAAAATAATAAACATCCCAATACACTACCTTGGGGTATTGAAGCATTTACAATTATTTTATTTGATCTCACTTTTAATATTTTATTATTATCAAAGTATTCTATTTCTACATATTGTTCTCTATCTTGTAAGTATGATTTGAACCATTCTAAACTAATCCCACGAACACCTATACAATTTAATTTATTAAGTAATATATTATATTGTACCCTATCATATGCTTTGGTCATATCTAAGAGTATTCCTATTGCATATTCTTTATTGTTTAATATCTTTAGAATATCTTGAATATATTTATATACTGCTAGTACGGTAGATCGATTTTTACGGAAACCGTTCCGAAATTCACTAAAGATTTTATATTTTTCGCAAAAAATTATACACACGTTCGAACATTGCTTTTTCAAAAACTTTTGAGATTGTAGGGAGTAAAGCTATGGGGCGATAATTATCGATATCGGTTTTTGAATTTTTCTTATGGATGGGTATTATTAATGCCTTTTTTTAACATGTCTGGGAAAATGCCTTCTGTGAGAGATTGGTTGATTAGTTCACAAAGTGGTAGAGCTAACGCATCTGCGCAATATTTTATTAAAGCTGGTGGTAATTCGTCTATCCCGAAGCTCATTTTATTTTTTAAATTTTGTATTATTTTCTATACTTCCCTTGGGGTCACTGGGCTGAGATACATAGAGTTATTTGACACTTTTTGTGCAGTTCGACCACGTGCTGGCGGGTTACAATTTTTGCCTAACGAAGCATAGAATCTATTAAAAGTATTTGCAATTAAAATCGGGTCTGAAGTTAAAGTACTGTTTATTTTTAGTTTAAGGTTATCTTTTTCTTTTATAATATTTTTATTTGTTCTTTCCTTTATTATATGCCACATTGTTTTGATTTTATTATTTGATCTTATAATTTTATTATTGTATTCTATTTTCTTTGATGTAGTGACAGATTTTTTTAGTAATTTTCCATATTTTTTATAATGTTTTTTAGTAATTTTCCATATTTTTTATAATGTTAAAATTTTCGCCTAGGATGTCCCTTTCCGACTCTGCTATTCACTTCTGCAACATAAATTTTCTTTGTCACTCTTTCCTCATTCATTATTTCCACATGACCAAACCAATGAAGCATTCCTTTCTTAATCCTGGTCACAACATCATCTACTCTAAAATGATTGAACTAAATAAGCGAGGGTTTAACATCATGTCGCACGGCGCAGAAGCGTAATATACGCAGGCTAAACAGCGTGGCACAGCTGTATGAAATATTTTTAATACAAAAAACAATTTTAAAAAGTTTGTATCTGTTTTTCTGTTTGTTCCGGCTAATCTCCGAAATGGCTGAACCAATTTTGTCAGGAGTTTCACTGGCAGAAAAACAGCTGATGTTATAGGAGTAACTTAGGCTACTTTTATTTTCGAAAAAGAATTGGGGTCTTGCGCAAAAAAGGTCAAACCCATGAAATTCAACCGTAATCAATTTCACGTGTACGAAGTCGCGGGGAACAGCTAGTCAGGAAATAAATGACTTAAATAAAAATGTAGTCAATTAAGAATCTAACTCAATAATGTGTCTTCAATATTATCTAAACGCTTAGCGCAAAAACGAGACCGCTAACGTCAGTTTTCTCCCGGCGATTAAATATATTTTTTCTCTCGATTAATATAAAGCATTCTAAAAATCAATTCAATTAAGAATTTAAAATTCATCAAGCATGCGCATATTTCTTTTGAACACAATATACAATTTACGAAAGTATCAATTCTTTCGCGTCAAAATCGTGCCAAAAAAAAAGATGTTTTGTTCAACCTGGTGTTAACGAGCAAATAGACATATTCAAAAAGCAAAAAGGTATATTGTGTGATATTTGCCCAGCGCTATGTAATATATTATCATCATCGTCATCATTACAACACTTCACAAGTTCACTGCTGTATATGTAACATATAATTGATTTAAGAAGCGGCCTATTCAAAATGTTAAAGACGAGATACCGTTACAGCCTATCAAAAGTCCACGGGTGAACATAGGCCTCTGCTACAGATTACCTTCACAGAGGTGATATTTGCCATAGTTGCCACGCATGGCACGCTATAAGGAAACCACAGTTTTTTTTTGTTTTTAGTTATTAAAAAAATTGGTTGCCTGTAAAGTCGGTTTACGGACAATAGTTTAATGTGGCAAGTGGCAACGTCATAACAACATTGATAACATTATTGCTTACTTTTATGAATAAATTTGAATAATTTTTATTGAATTATCACTATTTTGTATGGATACAAAGAAGGAGTGAAATGAAATCTATAATTTAATTGATAAATTTACTTTTACGCTCAAGCCGATCGTGCATTTCGCTCGCTCGTGCAGCGCTCTCGCTCCGATCGTAACGTTACAATGAGCGTAACGTTACAATGAGTCATCCTTTTTTGTGCGTGCAGCCGGCGTTCATCGATTTATTTGACGTTGTCACGTCAAAAAACTGCTGCTCATCTCTTCGTCTGTTTCCCTCTGTCGTCTCTTACGTCGACGGAACGACATGAGGTAGTGGATATTCTTACACTGCCACTACATGGTCAGTGAGGAGTAGATACTTAAAACTTACCGGAAAACGTAGATATAAATTGCACATAAAAATCCTTTTCCCAGATAAATAAATCACTGTCATCGCCTTTACTATCTTGAACCCAACCTCTGCAATTATTCCGCCACGACTCTGGCACAGACAAATTTATGGGAAGGTTTCTGAAATCATACAAGATGAATGTTAAGGTGTATAATCAATAAGACATTTGCTTGTACTAAAATAATGATAACAATGGACAAAAAACTCGTAGAGTGACTGATCCAAGCTAGTTACTGCCGCCGTTTTCAATTTCGACTTTTACCCTCACTTCCATAGATAATATACTATACAACAATATACTACAAAGACACCGCATTTTAATTAATTTGCCGTTGTATGTTGAAAAGTATTTGTGTTATTATATTCAATTCTATTACTAATGTAATATTAAGTCTCATCAGCCTCGCACAGCTAGATATTTACATAGCATAAGTCGTATGGTATTTTACTATTGGGTAAAATATTATTACAACATTTTACTATAACACGACTGAACCAAAATCTATATTTTTTTTACAAGAAAGGGCCATAAAGAGGGCTATGATTTAAAACCCAGTCTACAACAAAAATTTAAGGAAATTAATACATAATTACGGCCCACACGTTCTATCTTCGCCGAGATGAAGTTAGACGCAAGTGACTGCCCAGATATAGTAGTTTTTATGAATAAAATGGTGACAAGAGAAGGAAGGTGGATGGTAATAAAAACTAAATATGCGAATATTAGAATTATAGAAGAAACGCATATTGCGTGATTAAAATTAGGTAAATAATCGATTATAGTCATTATCGATTATGCAACATATTGTTTTAAATACAGTGATTATGATGATGTGCATTAAAGATTTTATTGAAAACATTTTAAGTTATATTCTACACTAATATATATGTGTATTTACCATATATTCAAACTATTTATAGTAACTCTTTATTATTGTTTTTTTTATTTACTATTGTTTTATTGAAATACAAAAATATATTCTCATTATAATAATAATTTTCTATATATATAACATATATATAACACAGACAGACACAGATACAGATAACACAAACTGTTCCCCTAAACAATCTTAGGAGCAAATATGAAGTGGCACATCACTACCGACTAGTGTCCAACTTCATCCGGCCAAGAGAGAACCTGCGAACAGTAACTGACGGTGGAGAATACCAGCGTAAAATAGCAGCTTAAGGCTGCTGTTTTACGCTGGTATTCTCGTCTGCTGTTTGGTGAGTGTAGAGACCCTTTTTTATTGGAAACAAGGTATTCCATCTTAATCCTCAGAGGTGACACCGCATCTGCATTTCGATTCTTAATCAAGGATAAATGTCTAGATGTCTATGAGCCACAGCATCCACTAAGCATCAGATGGACTTTGTGCTCGTTTGTCATCCTTATTCCGTAAAAAAATGTAGACGCTTTTACAATAAAATCTCGGAAAATATGAACAAAATTTATTTTCCACCAAGTTAAAAAAAATATTATATAAAAAGGGCTATTATAATTATAAAGAATTTAATATGGATGATAAAATCACAAAGAATGAGACTATTGTTACCAAGCTATTTTAATACATGATTAAAGTTTTTTTAAAAAAAAAGAAAAGCCCTATTAGTTTTCTTGTTGAATCTTCCTTGAGGTTGAGGTTTTTACCAAACCAGATGTAAATTAAAGAATTACCATCAAATAAGGATATCCTACTCTATTTTAGGATAGTGTAACTACATATTTGGTAAATTAAAGTCATGTCATAGGTTTCTCAGGCATCTGTGGAAACAAAAACATAAACTTTTTTATTCAATGTAGATTGTAAACAATACTTATTGAAAGTCACTTTTTCATTTACCACTGGTTCGCAAAACATACCTCTGTCCTGGGAAGAACCAGCAAGAAACCTAGCGGGACTATTTTTTTTAAATAATAGCTTACAATCATGTACGTTACAATTAACAACACAAAACAACTTAGAAATAGCTTGGTAGCGTTCACCCTTCTCAGGGGTTATTATCATCCATAAATTACTTAATATTATTATAACCGTTTTTATACAAACATAGTTTAATAAAGTCTTTGAACTTTGTGTATGTGTGGTATCTTAATATGAACCTAAATACACAGTACGGCTTACTAAGCCTGTTGTCAGGGCTAGTTTTTTACACCATATTATGTGTAACCTAAATCATAGAACAATTACTTACATATTAGTGGAATTGATTGTATAACTACTTTTAATATCGCAGATTGTGTTGACGGCTATCGAAAATAAACTATCACTGCGCCATACGGCATACGTCTCCAGCATCACGAGTATAATGAACAATTTCCAAAATGTCTGAAAGTTGAAATTGATAGGATTCACATGTAAACCTTGGCAGGTAAAAAATCTCAGAACTACCGGTAGATGAAGATACGTGCATCTCATTTATGCCAAACGTAACTAGACCAGACTAGCATCATGAAGCAGCGTTAAAAGTGTGAGACATCTGGTACTGAGCCATTCCATCTGCCAAGCTAGGCGATTCCTCCCTATGATAAGAGAGGTCCATGTCCAACAGTTAACTTTTTCAGGCTAATGATGGCGATGAAGCAACCAGTTTGATTCTTGCTGGTACGAATGACATTGTCAATTACAGATATACTGCTTATTGTGCTCAATAGTAGTCATCGGCGGGAAAACCTCCAGAACTGGGAGAATATTTTGAGTGAATGTGAGGTTCCCCAACATGTATCGGAGCAGCGCGGCAAACTTTTCCCTACCACAAAAACTTGCGACGCTTGCGCTTTTGGAGTACTGTATAGTGATATAAGACATACGAAGATACTGGAAGAATTTTACGTCAGTAATGAGTCAATAAATAAAATCTGCATACTACATGCAATTACTCCATACGATCCTGTGGGTGTTGTAAATAGGAAACTAAGTGCTTGTTCACGACAGTGGGTGCGATGGTTTAGGGTTTAGGCGAGCTCGAGTTCGCATTGGCCGCCAGGCGTTTGTGCGAGTGTGACTTGTCATCCAAGTCATATTCCCCAATTTAGGCACAAAAATCAACAGATTCCCCACAAAAATCCCCTTAATTTTATTTTAAGAAATGAAACTAACACAATTTTATAAGATTTATTTTTTAAGTTACTTTTTTATTTTTTCACACTTTTTTTTTTCATATTTTTGTAACAAGCATTTTACACCATGGAGTGTTTTTAATTCCTTCCCTTATTGCTATTAAATAGTACCACAGTATCTGCTTTTATATGAAAGCTATTCTCTGCTTCAAATTAAAAAATATAAAGAAATGATACACGAAAGTTGCCGAAATAAATCCGAAAGTTAAATGTGGTCCGAGGAAGATAGCTAAAAAAGGGAGTCATTCGATATCCATAACTAACCTAACCAAAAAGTTAAGATTTCTTATTTAGATTTCTTGTAAAAGGGCCCGGCCCGGTATATCGATTTTCAAAATCCACGTATTTTCCCCGCATAATACCAATCCGCAATCAACTTGAGATTTCGCGCAGTTGGGGAATTTAGAACATGTTTGCAATGCTATCATAGGGTCAAGCAAACAAAGGCGACGATATTTTATTTTTAATCGAAAATTCTTACCTAAAGTGAGAAATGACAAAAAGTAGTATTTCTGGTGTGGTGATCACTACCAAGCTATTTCTAATTTGTTTTGTGTTGTCAATTGTAACATACATGATGATTGTAAGCCATTATTTGAAAAAAAAAATAGTCCCGCTGGGTTTTTTGCTGGTTCTTCCCAGGACAGAGGTGTTTTTAGTGAACCAGCGGTAAATGAAAAAAGTTACTTTCAATAAGTATTGTTTACAATCTATATTGAATAAAAGTTTCTGTTTATGTTTCCATGTAGGTAATTAATAAAGAAAGAGAAAGGTATGGTTAACAGTATTTCGAGAAAATATCTTTCAAGATTTTTTTGATATACCAGGATGACTGTCATTCAGTTTAAAGTATTAAAGTTTAAACTGGTTGATCTTATCTGAAACCGCTAGTTCAACGTGAACACACACAAACAACTTCACACGTTTGATATTGCCGCGATCGGCACGCGCCAGTCGCCACCTACTTCCACCGCATTTGCGTTTTGTACGTGAACACTTGCTAATAATGCTATGTGATTGATATTTCGAGGCCGCACCCGCCATCGTACCCGCGAGTTAACGTGAACAAGCACTGAAAGACATGAAACAACCAGCAGATGGTCAGCAGCATCTCAGTGATAATATATAAGGCAATATATGGGCGAGGACTGTGTCCAGAGTAGACTTTTATAGACTGTAATGAATTTATGAATGGACAAATAAATAAATAAATAAATTAAAATGAATGTTTAGCATATCAGGAAGTAGCATAGGATATTCTCCATGTTGTGCTATCTTCTTAATTTTTTTTAAAGCATTGGGTGACAAACAAGCATACAGTCCACCTGATTCTAAGTGGATGCTGTGGACCATAGACATCCACATTTATCTTCAATTAAGAATCAAAATGCAAATGCATTGTCACCCCTGAGGATTAAGATGGAATGCTTTGATCCCAGTTAAATGGGTCTCTGGTTCTCTACACTCACCATACGAAACACGGCAGCATTACGCTGCTATTTTATGCTGGTATTCTGTGAGAGCCGTGATAGCTCAGATGGTTAACGCTCGCTGTAAATATAACAGAACGCGAGTAACCCGGGTTCGATCCCCGCCAGCACCAATGAAATAGTTAATTGCAATTTTAAGTGCTGATTTACCACATGCTCTGTGGTGAAGGTAAACATCGTAAGGAATCCTGCATGTCTGAGGAATAAGTAAAAAAAATATATTTCGAAGACATGTGAAGTTCGCCAACACGCATTGGGGCAGCGCGGCGGACACTTCCTTGCCCTAAAACTCTCGCAGAAATGAGGGGAGGCCTGTGCCCAGCAGTGGGACGTTTATAGGCTGTAACTTTACTTTTTTTTTATTCTGTGAGAGAATGGTCTTGCCCCGGTCGAGCCGACCCATTCATGCTACAACTAAAATATAGCTGCAGCTTGACTCTACCACATATCAATGTCATGTGATATCTCATTTTATTATCCTCTTCTCTTGCCATCAAACAAGTTCTTCTTCACCACTTTTTAATTTATCCTGAACACACAATTTCTGCTCAAGCACTAGCTATGAAACTAAAAATATTATTTTGAAAAATCTAATTGAAAAAGGTTGTCATGTCGGCAGTCCAATTGTTATGAAGTGAATAAACCATAAACTAATCTGTTTGATACAATACCTCCGATGCATACAATGCGAGATTATGGATGCATACCTTAATAAACAAATTTTTAAGTCAGTCACCGACACTCAAACAGATGCACTCACACAAACTGCGGGTGTTTGTGTGAGTGCATCTGTTCAGACTCAGCCTCCCTCACATTCACATCAGTTCAAGTTGTAAGTTAGTAATATTGTTTTCCCTTAAGTTACCTTAAAATCAGTGTTGTATAAGATATGCCTCTGAGCTTCTTTGGACATAAGAACAAGGTCAATCATTACTATCACAGGATCATATTCTATGTATTTGTCGACTATGCCCTTGCAGGCAACCTGGAAATTAAAACCATGTCTCTTTTTTATATTATTGAAATACATACAACATAGCTGAACATAAACCTCCTCTATATATGGCCCCATATGGGAGACATTTGCCATAGTTGCCATGCTTGGCATGTGAGTTTGAAACTGCATTTTATTTTAATTGTTATTAGGAAAATGTTGCTGCCCAATTTCTAACTTGTTTTCTCCTTTTAGTCAACTGAAATACATATAACGTAATATTAATAATTTAAGAGATACTGATCACTATTATACTGTCTCATATTATCATCATCATCATCATTACAGCCCTTTACAAGTCCACTGCTGAACATAGGCCTCCCCCAATGTATGCCACAAAGCATGGTCCTGAGCCACCTGCATCCATTGACTTCCTGCATGTCTTACAAGTTCGTCACTCCATCTAGTGGGGGGTCGCCCTACACTTCATCTACCGGTACGAGGCTGCCACTCGAGAACCTTTTTTCCACAACGGTTGTCGGTTCTTCGAGCTATATGGCCGGCCCATTGCGACTTCAGCTTACTAATCTGTTGGGCTATGTCGGTCACTCTGGTTCTACTGCGGATATCCTCATTTCTAAGTTTATCACGCAGAGAAACTCCGAGCGGCCAGCAGTGAAGGACCACGTCTCAGTTCCATATGTCATCAATGGCAACACGCACTGGTTGTACAACTTAGTTTTCAGGTTTTGAGGTATACCTGACAAGAAGATGCGTTGTAATTTCATATTAGTCTGCCTGTAAATAGTCTCCTGCTACTGTGTTGTAGGTTTTTTCACCCTTTTATCTAACTGCAGCTACGCCTAAAATGAGGGTTTTTGGCTGGTATGTACATATCGACGACGAAGTGGCAATTACTCCTAACTCAAAAAACACTACTTTACAGGAGACGAAAAAAACGTTTCACTTAATTTTACGTATACTTTTGGAATATTGTAAAGTTTTAATTTCGTTACAGGAAGATAAGAAATAAGACTGTATTGTTAAATATAGTGAAATATTACAGGTTTCTGAAATATTACTACATAGGAGGAATTGTTACAATTTTTTTAAATTTTTTTTTTCTTTTCTTGAGATAGCAGGTATTGCAACGAAAAAAAAAACTGTATTTTGATTGAATAATCACTATTTATTAATCACTTTTAGTGAAACATTGGTGGAATAAGCTTAGTATTTAAAATACTGGACGATATCACAAACATTGTATGTTCAAAAATCTACAGTGTTGTTACAATAATCTAAAATACAAGTTGGCACCAATTTTTAAAAAAGTAAAGACACATAACAAAAAGATAACTTGAAATCTGAGAACTACAAATAATAAATCAACGATTAACTAGACCTTATCACGATAAAAAATCAACTCAATTTGCAAGAAATATATTCGTGTCAGTAGATATGACTTGCTGTTGAATATACTTACAATGTTCTGATTACCTACCTAACTAAAACACAAGTAGAAGTATTCGCTTATAGAACTAATACCCAAATGTCTACAAAATTAGTAAAATAACAATCATAAACCTTTTAAAAAGATAAATTGTAATTAAAGAAACAGTCACCTACCACATCATGACATAAAATAGTGCAATTATAATAAAACCCTGCACATTCGAAAGGCAAAGAGTTGTAAAAGGCATGACAATCGTTAGGAAGTACTGCCTTTAATTGCTGAAGATGATTGAATTTTGTAGCTTTTATTGGAATTCTATTCGAATACATTTGACGATGAATACATTTCGGAACTTATAATCTTGGGTCTCTGTGGAAGAGAAGTCCAATCTTCATCAAAGTTGAGCTTTACTTCATCTGTCATTGTGTTGTATTTTATGGCTCTTATGTCTACTACTTGTGGATCGCCAACCCTACGCCCAGGTCTTGTACTTTTGTAATACCAATTTTCAGTATCAGCGTAGTTTTTTACAAACTTGTAGTCAACTTGTATAACTTCATAAGGATTTATCCTGCGTGCTTCCTTTGTAATTGTACTGTAATCACTTGGTAAGTGAATTTCCTCGATTTTTGAGTTTTCGTTCGATTGCCGCATGGACAGAATTGCACTCCATTTGCGTATGTACTGATTCTAGAAACTTTTGAGTTATAGTGATATTATTGTACTTTTTACTTAGAAACAGCAGGGCATTTGACGATTTAATAGTATTACGATTTTGATACGTACACCCATCTGAATTAATTACGATAGGTAGGAGTTGGTGAACGTAATGTATTTCGATATAATCGACTAAAAATTACACAAATGTACTTGCAGTTAAGTCAGCCGATGTTTCATCAAACCAATAGCAAGTGCAATGTGTACTAATTAAATTGAACACTGTGAAGTTATGGACTGTTAATTTGGTTTTAAAGTATAACGCACTAGCGTTTAAAAAGGGACTACATAACCTTTACAGATTCCAAATCCATGCTCAGTAAAATAAATACCCCGTCAGCAGCTTTCTTTTTATCAATTTCCTTTTATTTTTTATTATCTAGAAAGTTGTTTAACGTCAATAACTTTTGCGTATTATTGGATCTTGATGTAGGATTGCGGACTAAGGTTCTTAATTCTTGATGTGGTATCATACCAAAATCATTATCTTTTGTCCATGAACGTACAGTAAATGTTCCCAGCCAAAGCGTGTTAAGGAATATAGTTCTACGCACTTGTACTTTATCTGATCCGTCACTATTGATAGGCAAAAAATATAATGCAGTTTCTGTACGCCTGTAATGAACATTGTTTGTTGTTTTTTGAGCAGTTTTTGAGCATTTCTCTAGAGACTAGATTTTGCGTTCCCAATTCATTTGCTTCCAAAAGAATCTGTGTATTTGTTTTCTACAGTCTTTACTTATTTTAGAACACTTTCTTAACTTACTTTTAACACAATAATCAGACTTGCATCGTTCTCCCATTATTCGAGCAGATCTTAAAGTATCCTGTAAAAAATTTCTATTTGCTGGTTTTGAATATCCTTAGTACTGCTCTTCTTGCATCCTACGTAATTTGGCTTTGTTTCTTTTCCACGTATTTGGCAAGGCCTTGTGGCGACACTTCCTACCCTCGTTGATATCCTCAATATCTGTATCTGTAACAATGTCGGTTTCTGTGTCAGAATCATTACCACTAAGTTGCTAAGTCATTATGAATGGTTATCCATAGTGAAGTGTTATCAAGATGAGAATAAACAGCTTCACAATTCTGATTCAGCAGAGGAAATCATATCGTTTTTTTTAAGCTGCTGACGGGGTTCATGGTATCTAATTAGAAAGCGACCACGATTTCTTTAAACGGTTGCTGCAATGCCAGTTGTGTGATAGTTATTTTTGTATATTGATATTGTGTCATCATCAGCTAAATAGGAGCTCCGAACAGCTAGTGATTGTGGATGAAGGCAAGCATTAGTTAGTTCATCATAGCGATTTATTTGCGAGAAACGACCTAAATCATTATACATATTCAAGATCACCTAGTCCAACTAGGTGAGTTAGACTTAAGATAAGGTTCAATATCAACCCCTATTAAATATAATTGATTCTAGATAGATTTTCATACCATGCACAACTAACTTCAACCTGCTCGATGAGTCGCGCGAAAATTAACCGTCATTCAGTCGGCTACTAGATCACCATGAAACGGACGTGCCACAGCTTAGATAGGATAAATTGCCAGCAATTTTTTTTATAATAATTAAGAAGGTATTGCCACACCTCAATATCTTGATCAATTTTGACTCTAAAGACCTGGTGTCTTCATGAGGACCTGAATTAGGTAATTTTAAGTATAACTATGAAATAAAAAAAAATTCGCAAAAATTGAGATAGGAGTAATTGCCACTTCGACGTATTTCGATTATATGATATTATATACCATGTCTGTTTCTATGTCCGTCCATAAAAACTTTAGTGAAATTTATTTTTATTGTAATTAATTTAAAAGGCATTTTCAAAATCCGAGAGCAGTGTAAAAGGTTTGAGCTTAACCCTGAGAAACCTCATAAATTGAAAACAAAATTTAACAGTCAAGTATTGTACATGTACTTCATAATACTAGACCAAATTGACATATTTGCAATTCTATAAAAGCAATTTATTTCAATCGTAATTAATTCAAAATGCATTTCCAACATCTAAAAACAGTGTAATAGGTTCAAGCTTAACCCTAACAAGCTTCTTAGACTAAAAACATTATTAAAATCAAATGCGGGATGTCTATAGCCATCCCCTTTTTTTCTGCCTAGAAGTTCATCTATGTAGGTATTAGGTACCTCATATGATTAAAGGTGTAATGCATGTAAGAGAGAGAAAGAGCAAAGGCATTTGATTTCAATCAGTCCATCCACAAATTTCTAAATATTTATCGATAAACAAAGTAAAAATTAACCTTGATACAATTGTACTTCAGTCTCATCTCATGAAATAAGTTCAGATTTATAATGAAACAAGTACTGCTGACTAAATGGATGTGGGTTCATTAAACTTTTTACTGTCCGATTTTCAGGCACAAGAGTAAGACAATAGCATTGAACTATAAGTAGTACACACAGTGAATGAGTAAAGTGGTAGATTGAAAGCTGCAGAACAAATTTTACTGAGATTATTAAAGATATAAGATTAAGATAAACCAGATAAGGTTAAGATGTTGTACAGCTTGTTTTTCTGAAGTATATTGCTGACAACTCACACACAACCTTTTAACTACTAACCCATTAACTAATTTTTCACTTAAATAACATTAAAGAGAAACTTTTATAATAATAATACCCAATGGTGAATTTATAATATGGTACACTAGGCAATAGCCTAAGGCTTCAATGCACAGAGGGCATCGGTTATTAAACATCGGTTTTGAAAAAGATTAAGTTCTACTATGGAAAATATGCATGATACTAGTCAATGTAATATAGAATCAAAATAGAAATTAATATCTCGCTCTGCGATCAAATTGCTCCCAATAAACTAAAATAAAATGCAAAACTAGGGAATCATTTGTTTTAAAAACCTAGGGCACCTAATAGTTAAATTCAGGTACACCACTTAAAAAAAACTTTCCTAAACCAATTTCTACCTATGAAAACGAAAGAAGTATAAGTGTTATATCTGTAAAGGGATTGCATGATATTATTTTATCATCGCTGAAGACGTTTAGGTTTCATCGTAAAATTTAAAGTACATACTTGAATATACATATTATGAATAAAATTTATTGATTATGGTACAAACATATTTGAGTTGGCCAGAATGTACATTTTTGTGATACATACACATTTTGTAAGTTTTAGGACCGATGGTCCGTAAGTTCTGTACAATGCAGAACATGGTTCCCCACAATTAACACATTTGTATTTATTATTGGCAGTCATTATATAAGCAGATTTAGCTTTGTTATGGATACTATAATACTTTGGAAACACTGCAGCACAGCAGCCTTTCGATTTTATATTTTATCTTTAGGTGCTTTGATGTTATGAATAATAAACTCTGCTTCCGGAATAAAATAAACAAGCAACAAGCAATGGCCAAATTGACATTGATTTTTTTATTTAACTGGCTTTACGGCTCTGGGTTCTAGCCCTTCGGAGCCCTATAATTTCTTACGGGATCTTCATTTTTATTGATTTTTTCTTCACAATATGCTGATGCATCCATAAATTTAGTACTAAATCTATGGATGCGCCACCTTGTGAAGTTTTTAGGAGATTTTAACGACAGCTCTACTCAGCGGATAGTCAATGACGATAGTCACTTAAGTAGTAACGATAGTCATAAAGCGTTTAAGCGATCAAAATAACTTGAGCTTTATATCGACATCGAAGCATTTGTTTCGTTGTTTTCTCCAATAGTTTACACGCTCAGACACTTAATTCACAAAATACCATCACTTTTACGAATCAAAATCCACTTCAAACCATCGGCTAAAACCGATGGCGCTTGAAGCGCCACCTGTTCATTAAATGGGCCATAAATCGTAAACGGTAAGTTATACAAAAAAGTTTACTAGCAACAAAAGATGCAAAATTTTATTTTCTACAATAATGGTTTTATTAAATTATGCATTAAAGTGCATAGTTTCCGAGATATCTGCTGAAAACATTTTATCAAGATTGCGCTTGAAGCGCCACCTGGATCTGTTGGCATTTTGTGATTTTATTCTGAATAAGTGATCTTAAACCCCATAAAAAATAAAATTTAATCGGAAATTTCGTGCAATGTTAAATTCTATTTTTACTATACCGTTTCATTAAACATTTTCTTTGTAAACAAAGTCTAACAATCGTCGTTTCTCTAGCGCTCACGTGCCCTTCATACAAATAATTCAATATTTTAATTGTTGATAATATTTATTTTTGGATAAGAACATGGTAATGACTCTAAGTTATATTTACCTTCATTTAAAAAAAATTGTCTGGCCAAACCTACTATACTATTTGGCTTGACCATAGGTCTGACTAATAGGTCCAATATACATACGTGCACAAGTGGTTAAGCAATAAAACAGGAGCAGCAAACCGTCGACGGCAAAGTTCCCGCCAAAACCCATTGACATTGACAATGAGCAATGACAAAGACCAACTTATAAATACGTCTATGACCGTAGACAGAGAAACCAATAGACTATAACGTAGACAGACGTAGACAGAGAAACCTATAGACTAATGATCGGCGTGGCCTCGAGTGAGAAAGGACGATAACGAATTTTTAGGTTATACAATAATCTTTATGACTTTTAAACACATTTAGATAAAAAATTTAATTGTTCTAAGAACTGAACTAAACAAGATTCAGCAATCTTAGGCTCACATAACACTTTTTTCTCACTTAAACCAACTTGTAAACTCCTTAAATCGCTACGCTTTCAAAGTTGTTTAGCAAACTGTAGAGTTTGCTAAACAAAAAAACCGGCACGGTGAAAGGGACAAACAATCACACCGCTCTATCTCATTTCTATGCAAGACGTATGCATAAATCTATCTTTTTCGTGTGCGAATGCGAAAGAAGGCGTCAATTTGTCTATAGGTTCTCTGTCTACGTAGACAGAGAATCCTATAGACACCGCCATAGCGTGTCGCAGAAAGAGACAAAAAAATACGTCACTATATTTAGGGTTACAAGTGTGAGGAAAAATTTAACCCAAAACTAGCTATAAAATTAGAAATTAGTACGTAAAGTAAGCCTGAAAAGGAACACTGCCATTTACGATTATCATTGATAGGTATTGTAGTGAATGGAGAGCTAAGTGGACTGTATTTGACTAATTATTTATTATAATTTACTTTTGTGAAGAAAGAAGAAACTAAAAAATTGTGATATCTATCTGACTAATAAACTTAAAGAAACTATTGTATAATGAATGAGAGCTTAGTGGACTGTATTTATGTAGGTTGTTTTAATCTTGAAGAAAGAAGATACTGAACTTACTGTTACCAGCCCTCTGTCACTATTGTTACCTTCGTGAAATAATTACCTACAATCGCTAGGCACCCAGGGTAACATACGCAGTCGGGGCTAGCGCGTTGTACGCGATTGAATGTTTGTTTTGAGTTTTTTAACGGTGTTTACGTAAATAGTTTTTTTGTAAATACTTGTTGAAATAGTCTTTGTTTAGTGTTATTCATATTATTTCACCTATTTGATAATTTGTAATGGAAGAACGTCGCTCTTACTTATAATTGTTGCGTGGATGGATGCCAAATGCCCAAAAAAAGGTTTCAGATATATCATTCTTTAAAAATACCGAAGGATTATAGAAGGAAGTTATGAAAAGTGAATTTATTTAATTTTTTTGTTAGATAGGTACTTATAGTAAAAAAGAAGTAATAATTTATCTACACAAGTAATATCTACGTACTTTATTACAAAACTTAGTTGAAATTTACTTCACTATCCAAGTATCTACATGCTTACATACCTATATATTATGTCTTGTAGTTAAAATATTTTAAGTTATAATAACACTAAACATTGAAATTAAAACTTTGTTTTCTAACAAGATTTTTAACCGAGTAGAATACGACCGCATTTCTGTTAGGAATCGTATTTCAGGATTATTTGTTGGGGCCTAGCTAGTTGCATGCGTTGAGCATCGCAGAAATCACATAGGTACGAAAATATGGTCAGTCGATCATAGTTAGAATAGGTACTTCACCTAAGTAACTTAATTAACATTTGGCAATGTATTTTTTTTAGTCTTTATTGTTAGCCCTTAGTAACCACGAAAAGTCCGCCATGGAAGAGGAAAGGGAAAAGATGCAAAGTAACATGGACACTCGCGCCCAGCGATGAAATTTTATTTAGCTTGCGTGCGCGATTTATCTGATTAATAATAATGTAGGCTATTAAACGTCGGCAAGCAGTCGACATCAAAGGAGTGCAACTCCTGTACGTAGTACTATTATTTATTCTGTGCTTTTACTGTGATATCTATATGACTAATTATTTATTTAATTGCTGTTTTAAACTGCTAGGAGTTGAGTTAAATTAAAAATTGCAAAAAACTAAAGTAAATTTATTAAACTATTTAAACAATGCGGCAGTCTTCCAAACTATCACTAATCTAATGCCTAATGGGACCTAATAGGGAGATAGAATCTTCTTGCTTGTTGTTGTTCTCTTGAGCGCTGTCCTGCCGCGAATGTCGTACGCCGGCCGGGAGCCTTTCTTTCATTCCCACCGACGGGGTCGCGTTGGCGCTGAGTAGAATGTTAGGTTTAGCATGGTCGTGTTTGATGCCTGTGTCGTAACAGGTTTTGGAGAGCCTGATGAATTGACCCTGGTCTCTGAGGAAGACAGGGGGCGAGACCTGTTTTTAGAAAAATTCTTTGGTATCATAATAACCCTTCTTGTACAATTTTTCTTTAACAAAACATTTAAACTTGTTTAATGACAAATTTTGTACATTTTTTGGGATTTTGTCGTAAAAGCGTTTTAAAATTGCCCCATAAATTAAAAAAATTCTGTGGAGTCTAGTATCTGGTATTACAAGCTTATGTTTGTTCCTAGTGTTTAAAGTATGAACATCTTTATTCTTATGAAAGCTATTTATTTTTTAATGTACATACATTATATTTACATAAATATATTGCGATGCCAAAGTTAAAATGTTTATTTTTTTTAATTTTTCTCTCAGGGACTTTACAATTTAAGTTATAAATTGCCAGTAGGCTCCCTTTTGCAAAACAAATATGACTTCAATGTCAGTCGCATTACCCCATAGTAAGATTCCATAAAACATTACGCTGTGAAAGTAACTAAAATAAACTGATCTAACTGTCTCATCATTGGTGAGAAAGTAACAGAAACAGAAACTTTTTTATTCAATATGTATTATAAATAATACTTATTGAGTCATTTTTTTTTCGTTTACCACTGGTTTGCAAAAAAAACCTCTGTCTTCAGAAGAACCAGCAAGAAACCCAGCGGGATTTTTTTAAATCAATAGCTTACAATCATTTATGTTACAATTTACAACATGAAACAAATTAGAAATAGCTTGGTAGCGATCATCCTTCTCAGGTGTTATTATCATCCGTAAATTCCTTAATATTATAATTAACATTTTTATACAAACTTAGTTTAGTAAAGTTTTTGAACTTTGTGTATGTCAAATGTTGTATATTTTCTGGGAATTTGTTGTAAAAGCGTATACATCGCCCCAAGAATGAATTACTGACTCGGTGGAGTCGAGTATTATTGTCATTTAAACAAAAAAAGCTTCGTATGATGGTCCCAAATTTTTTGCTTGGGTTCACATGCTTTTGTGGCGTGACGTATACGCAGTTCAAAATAGTGCATGGAAATTGCCTTAATAAGTAAAACTTTGCGGTTTCCAATAAAAGTTTCAAAATGATTCGTGGTAAATACATCCTGGCATCGTTTGAAAGTTGTTAAAATAAGTTTCGGTAATAGATTTTTTTCTGCAAAGAATGATACTTCTTTATGTGAATGTATCTTAAATATTCTTTCTGCCAACGTACATACTTTAATAACATCGCGTGAAGGATAAATAAGGCCACCTTTATTTTTTTAAAATATAAGACATAAATATTTGTCGCTAATAAGAGCTAGCAGACAATCTTCACATTTTATAGTTTTTCTTAATTTCCTAACTACAAACCCACCGATATATGAAATAATTTCTTCAGTACAGGTGGTCAGTTTTGAGCGGTTAAAATATAATCGTGGTCATCATCGACCAAGAAATTATTATTAGGGGGGCAATCCTTAATCGAGTCTTCGAGATCTTGAGTGCAGTACATATTAATTTTATTTTCATATCGCACTTCCGTGCGAGTTAAAATTTTTATATCCTCTAGATGTATACAGTTTCCTGACTTAATACCTTTTATTTCCCAGTGTATCACTA